AGAAAGCTTTATTTACGATAGACGTATAAATCTCCTTATCACTCTGAAACGTTTACATGCTAGTTCTAATATCGTAGTCATACGCTTAGAATCCTGAACACATAAGGTTTCCAAATCCGGTCGGCAACAGACCATAGATCCAAACAAATAATGGCATATATGGCAAACATATAGCATTTAGCACATAAAAACATTTTAGGCATCTTTCCTAAAATATACTAGTGCTCGTGTCTAAAATATGGTAGACACTCATCTCACAATCGTCGCTTAGCATTCTAAGTTTAAGTCTAGAAATCCTACAAATTCCTAGTTCGCTTAAACTAATGCTCTGATACCAACTGTGACATCCCCAATTTCACGGCCAGAAAAGACCGATTTAATTTATGCTTTTAAAATAAAATCAGAGTAATCTTTTAAAGAAAACTGTTGCGGAATTTGTTCCCAGAAAACATGATAAATATTTTATCCAAGAATCTCCGAAGAGATGTATTTTACTCGTTTTAAAACATTTGGGATGTCCTGGTCAATACAGACACATAAGCATAAACCGAACTTACATTCATCTACACTAATGATCTACATCTCTTTTAAATCTCTCAGTGTAAAGTAGCTTCGTATCGATACCTGTGATACAAATATATTGAGTGGGTTAGGTTTGGAAACCTGGTGAGTACATAGGGATTTCAATCCCACAATGTTATAACATATATATATATATATATATATATATATATATATATATATATATATATATATATATAAAATTTAGAATTCACAAAATATAAAATTTTCTCTATATATATAATCAACTCTTACCCCACCCCGTCAATCCTCTCAACGAGACTATCCATACTCTCGGAACTTAAATTATAACTCTTACTCCCGAATCTAATCCATGTTCTCGAATCCATGATTGTGCCCATTCCATACTTCCGGATAAGGGACAATTGGTCTATGTCTAAATCCATACTCCCGGATTAATGACAAATTCTATGTCCTTTCCATACTCCCAGACTAAGGACAACTGACTATGTCTTAATCCATACTCCCAGATTAAGGACAACTGACTAAGTCCAATCCATACTCTCGGACTAGGGACGAATAACTAAGTCTAATCCATGCTTCCGGATTAATGACATGTTTAAGGGTTCTGTTCCCTGTGTATATCTCACTCATACTCATAAGGAGATACTACCCAATAATTCTCTTAACAAATTTTAGGTTTACTCTTTAACCTAAATTATCATAAACAAACAGACATGTTCTTTAACACTAATTCAGACCACATCAAATAACTCACACAAAACATATACAATTCATACAATATAAAATTTTCTCTCTCTCTCTCTCTCTCATATATATATATATATATATATATATATATATATATATATATATAATCAACCCTTACCCCACCCCGTCAATTCTCTTAACGAGACTATCCATACCCTTGGACCTTAAATTTTAACTCTTACTCCCGGATCTAATCCATATTCTCGAGTCCATGATTGTGCCTAATGACGTGCCTTAGACGGCACGACCAAATCGCGCCTAACCGAAGCGTCGAGTATTCCAGTCGGGCTAAGCCCAGCGGGCTTAGCGCCCGCCAGCGCCTCTGGGGACAAAATGCCCAGGCGAGGGGCTCGCGCCCGCCAAAGAACGCTCCCAGCTCCAAGACAAAAGAGACGATCAGGAGACAAACAGTGGGATCAAGCCATTACCGTCAGAGCCAATAAGAGCGCTCTAACGGTTGAGGACGCACGACCCTCCAATCAGCGCCTCTGATCTTGTCTCCCCAAAAAGCGATTTTGTCCAGTACGGACTGGGCAAGAGCGCTAGGTATAAAAGGATGCACCCTCGGACTCACAAGGTAATCTCTTCTCTCTAAAGGAAGACACAAAAAACCCTAGATACCTTCTAACTTGACTGTCGGAGCGTTCTTCCGGGAGCACCCTCCTGGGAAACTGCTGACGGCCTCTCTTTCTTGTGATCTTGGAGAGGCAATGAGGAACCTGATTCACCAACGCAAATCCGGTTGTAGTTCAGGTCACATCATTTGGCGCCATCCGTTTGTGAGACGAAGAACACAAACTAAAAGCAAAAGGCTGAAGAATCAATGGCGTCCGGCGACAGCGATGGACACGATGGCTATCAGGCTAGTCCCATACGCTCCATGGCAACGTTGGACGAAACACTGCCGCCCACGGCGGTCAACAGAGCAACCCTAGGTGAGGGAAGCTCTAAGATAACCACCAACACCACCTCGCAACCGGCAACTCACCAACCAATAACAACTCCGACGGGGCCACTCTTAACCACATCCCTTCAGATGTCGCCATTCTTTGTACCACCAACGCAACAACCACCATCGGTCCACCCAACGATGCTACCACCAGGCCAAGTTCTCAACATTCAGTCGTCGTTTTTAGTGCCACCGTTCAATCAAGTGACGGGTGGACTGGGCCCAATGCTTTCCCTACCCCCACTGGCGCAGACTATGGTAGCTCATACACCACCTATCTACTCGATGGCAGGCATGTGGACCGAACCGACCATCGCCTCCAACCATAACCTCCAGCAGACCTCGATAATCAGCCCTTTAACACCAATACACCCTTTCTCCTCCGGCTATCCTCTCCAGTTACCATTCCAACAACACCCCTTTTACGGACCAAGTCCAGGCTATCATGCATCGTCGTCATACGGTTTAAACCTCCAACACCAGTCGCAAGGCACATCAACCGTTCCAACCCAAGACTGCCTTTCTCGCAGCGTTACATCCCCGTTTGTCAAAGAGTTGCTAGACTACGAAATACTAAACACGGCCAAACTGCCAACACTCAAAACCTATAATGGTACTACCGACCCAGATAGCCACATCGACACGTATGAGTGGACAATGACGTCTCTGAAGCTTGATGAGAGGTTCTGGTGCACATATTTACCGACGAATCTCGATGGCAACGCAGGCACATGGTTTAAGACGTTGCGTCCAGGCAGCATCTCCAATTTCGCTCAACTTAAATACTTATTCCTTACCAACTTCATGCAGCTACGAAAGTACAAAGGAGATTCTCATTCCATAATAGGCTGTAAGCAAAAGGAGGGTGAAACCGTGCGAGAATATTTCACCAGGTTCATAAACGCCACGTTAGACGTGCCGGGACACGACGAGGGACTCATAGCTGGTGCTTTCACGTGGGGACTTTTACCAGGCCCTTTGTCACAAAAGGTTATGGGTAAGAAACCCCAAACGAGGGCCGAGTTAAAGGAGAGGGTAGAACGATATCTGAGGCAGGAAGAAGGTGAGGCAGCAAAACAGGCATACCTAAATGCTATGATGACCAAAACGCCACAACCCAAGTCACACGGACTTTCGAGGAGGAAGTAGGCACTTTGGCCAGGTGAGGAGGCCTCAGGCGAGGTTTCGGCCATTTGATAGAGACGACAGACGGAGTCGTCGACCGGCGGTGCACACGGTATCAGAGAAACAACAGCCAGCCAAGTCACCCAAGAGCCGGTATTACGAGTACCACAAAAGCAAGACACACGATACTGCCAGTTGTTCGGTACTCAAGAAGGAAATGGAAGAAAAGCAGCTCAAAGGAGACTTGGTGGAAATAGCGCGGAGCCTGTGCGCCAAATTTGACGCCGAAAACGCCAAAAACATGCCTCGAGAAGGAGTTCAACCCAAGGAAATATTCATGATACATAACAAAAGAAGTAGGGAGGCACAATCGCCAAACCAATGGATCCCCGGGCCCCCGGCGCGAATGCTCACGTTCTCTGTGCAAGACCCCCGCCCTGAGGGATGGAGAGGTGATAACCCATTGGTAATCCAGGCCTCCATCAAGGATGTGACCATACACAGAGTCTACGTCGACACAGGGAGTTCGGCAGACATAATCTATGAGCATTGTTTTCGGCTTCCCCCAGATCGTTGGAAAGACAACCTGAGACCCACGACGGGGAGGCTGGTCGGATTCACCGGCCACAGCCTGTGGCCGCTGGGCACGATTCACCTCCCCCTGACAATCACCAGCCACGATAAACAACGAAAGAAGACGGTCCTAATCGACTTCGTGGTCATTATGTTGGGTTTTGAGCATTCTAACACTCTTATGGTGTACATGCAACCCTATAAACCTTGGATCTATGTTTTCTCTTTTATACATGCAAATATTAACTATTCCAAGGTTTCATCCTAACTAGCATATTATGACGCACCTATACTACAAAGTTCTAGTTAGATGACATACCTTTTGATGTAGCTTGATGTCTTCAAGCTTTAAGAGCTTATCCCCAATAGTGTGGAAGCCCTCAAATGGAATCACAAATCACCAAAACACTTGGAAGAACTTGAGAGAATATGTATGCATACTAAAATCGGCCCACTCTTATTTTCACACACTTGTACCAAATTTGTGAGCCAAGGACCCCTTTATATATTATGGAGGATTAGGGTTTCATCCATGTAAACCCTAATACCCATGACCTTTCATTTACATAGGATCCATGGGTTAAAAGCTCCATGGACCATCCATGAAAGCTTAGCCCAACCTAAATGAACTTGGCCCATTCCATATATATAAGAGTCCATATTTAATTAGTTCTTTTTGATCACTTAATTAATTCTAAATTAATTCTTGATCAATACTAATTAAATAATATGATTCCATATTAATATATTAGAACTTATAATATATTAATATAAATCATAAATATACTTTCTCAAAAGACTATCCATATAATTGTGCCGGTGAAGTGCAACCCAATGGACCATGTCCGGGTCAAGTACATACCAAATATAGTTATGGACTTAGACATTAATCCAACACATTCGACATTCGGCAGAGCACAACATCATCTTGGGTAGAACGGGCCTCCTAAAGCTAGGAGCGGTCCCGTCGACCATGCATGGAATCTTGAAATTCGACACTTCGGCAGGCCCAACCACAGTACTTGCCACCCCTTCCAGGGAATTGCAGTGCTTTACGGTCATGAAGCCAGCAGAGATTACTAAAGAAACAAAGAAGCCGCGACAAGACCCGACAAAAGGAAAGGAGGTAATCAACGAAGGATACCCTGATCAACCGATCAGCATTGGTCACGACCTCCCAGGTCACGTAAGGGAAGCAGTAGTCGATCTACTCAAACGGTACAAGCACATATTTGCATGGACCCCCACAGACATGGTGGGGGTAGATAGGAAGGTCATTGAGCACAAACTGGCGATCAAACCAGGGAAAAAGGAAGTGAAGCAGAAAAAAAGGGTCCAGGGAGGGGACCGCAACAGGGCAATTAATGCAGAGGTGGCTAAGCTGGCGGAGGCCGGAATAGTAAGGGAAGCAGTTTTCCCAACCTGGATCGCTAATCCGGTTATGGTGCGCAAGCAAGACGGGTCATGGCGTATGTGTATTGACTTCTTAGACTTGAACAAAGCGTGTCCCAAGGACTGCTATCCCCTCCCGGAGATCGACCAGAAAGTGGAATCGCTGCAAGGGTTTAAGCTAAAGTGTTTCCTGGATGCATATAAGGGATATCATCAGATTCTGATGAGCGATCAGGACGAAGAAAAAACGGCTTTCTACACGGATCATGGCACCTTTTGTTACACCAAGATGCCTTTCGGTTTGAAAAACGCGGCATCCACATACCAGCGTCTGGTCGACTCAGTCTTCGCCAAGCAAATTGGGAGGAATATCGAGGTGTATGTCGACGATATGGTGATTAAGAGCTCCCATGAAAACAAAATGTTGCAAGACATCGAGGAGACTTTTCGTACACTAGAAAGGGTCAAAATGAAATTGAATCCGGCTAAGTGCACATTCGGGGTAGAAGAAGGACAGTTCTTGGGATATTATGTTACCAAACAGGGCATCTAGCCTAGCCTAGTTAAAGTGGATGAGTTCATGGAGACACCACCCCCAGGCACCCTCAGAGACGCACAGGGTTTGAATGGGAGGCTCACGGCTTTGAGTAGATTCATCTCGAAATCCGCTGACAAGGCCATGCCACTATTCCATACACTGAAAGGCTGTATTGAAAAGAACAACTTTCAATGGACAGTCGCGGCGGTAGAAGCGCTCCAGAAGATTAAGGAAGCACTACACAAGCTACCCACACTGGCCAGCCCCATCCCAGGGGAAACACTGCAAATGTACCTCTCGACCTCAAACGAAGCGATATCCTCGGTGTTGACCGTAGAAAGGGAAGGAGAGCAGAAGCCGGTATACTTCGTGAGTAGGGCATTACAGGGTCCTGAGCTCAATTACCCCACCCTGGAAAAGCTAGTCCTGGCGCTCATTTACGCGGCGCGACGTTTGAGGCGCTACTTCCAAGCGCACCAAATAGAGGTACTAACAAATTGCCCCATCAAACAGATATTGCTCAAGACAGAAACATCGGGCCGGATAGCAAAGTGGGCAATTGAGCTAGGGGAGCATGATATAAGCTATCGTCCAAGGACAAGCATTAAGGGGCAAGCACTGGCTGATTTCTTGCTCAAAATTCCAGACGAAGGAAGCTCAGCCAAGGAAAGAATCTGGGCGGTAGAGGAGGTCCCAGCCAACGACTGCTCATGGACGCTATATACCGATGGGGCGTCCAGTAGGGAAGGCTCAGGGGCAGGCTTAATCTTGACTAGTCCAGAGGGAGAGGAAGTGACCTATGCTCTTCGGTTCGACTTCCATACCCCAAATAACGAGGCGGAGTATGAAGCCATGCTTGCAGGGTTGCGCTTAGCCAAACAAATGGGTGCGAAGGCTGTGACAGCCCTAACAGATTCGAGATTAGCCGCGAACCAAATTAACGGAAGTTTTGAGGCAAGAGATCAGAGAATGGAGAGGTATGTGAGAACGGTGAGACAGCTGATCCAGTCCTTCAGACAGTTCACGATTAAGCAAATACCTCGCAGCGAGAATAAAAGGGCAGACGCGTTAAGCAAGTTGGCATCTACATGTTTCAATCATCTATCGAAGAAGGTTTTGGTAGAAGTGCTCAGGGAAAGAAGTATAGACGAGCGGCAGATAAATACCTTGACAACCACCAGGCCCACATGGATGACACCATTTATGGAGTATTTGCAAAGGGGAGTACTACCAGACGACCACAGTGAAGCTAGGAAAATACGTATAAAGGCGCCCTCATATGCATTGATAAACGGGGAGCTGTATCGAAAAGGGTTCACGACACCGTGGTTGAAATGCGTAGATCAGGCCAAAGGGATGGAGGCACTACAGGAGGCGCACGCAGGCCAGAGGGGCGCACACGAGGGAGCTAGAGCTTTAACGGGTAAAGTGCTCCGAATGGGAATATATTGGCCCACTGTACCCAAGACGCGCTGGGAGTGACTAGGAAGTGTGGGGAATGCCAGTCTTATGCTCCAGTCCAAGCAAACCCGCCAGTACCACTGCAGAACATATCCAGCCCATGGTCATTCTACCAATGGCCTAGACATTGTAGGCCCGTTCCCGGAAGCACCTGGAAAGATGAAATACATGGTGGTGGCAGTAGATTCTACTTCACAAAGTGGATTGAAGCAGAACTGCTAGCGTGCATATCAGGAACGCACATGATAAAGTTTGTATGGAAAAATATCATGACAAGGTTCGGAACACCTAATGTGCTCGTCAGTGACAATGGCTTACAATTTGCTGAAAATCCTTTCAGAGAATGGTGCGCCAGTAAAGGGATAAATCAGCGGTTCACATCAGTGGCGCACCCACAGACTAATGGGCAAACAGAAGTGTCCAATCGAACCATTGTGAATGGCATCAAGAAACGGTTGGGTAAGGCAAAGGGGAATTGGGCAGAGGAGATACCGACAATATTGTGGTCATACAGAACCACTCCACGAACAAGCACACGGGAGACCCCGTTCAGCCTAACGTATGGGACGGAGGCTGTACTTCCCATTGAAATAACGGTTGGCACGTTAAGAGCAGTCAATGCGGATGAAGAAAGCAATGCCCAAGACCTTAGGTTGAATCTGGACGTTCTCGAAGAGAGGCGCGAGAAGTCGGAGATACGCCAAGCTGCATACAAGCGTGTAACAGAAAGATATTACAATAAGAGGGTAAAGGAGAAAGCATTCATAGTAGGCGAGTATGTGCTGAGAAGGAACAAGGCAAGTCGAACCCAGCCTCAAGGCAAGTTGGGCCCAGTATGGGAGGGCCCGTATAAGATCATAGAAGCAAATAGGAATGACGCATATGTGTTGGAAACAGTGGAAGGATGGCGGATACCAAGAACATGGAACGCTAGAAACTTGAAGAAGTTTTTCTTTTAAGGACGAAGTGGCAAATAGCCCCAGTTGCCCAGCGTCGTACTCAGTATACCACATTTTTAAGTACTTAGTGTACTTGATTTCATGCTTAGCGACATGATTCTCATACTTAGTGTATTGGATCCCACGGTCAATGTAATCGAATGGTTGATATGCCAAATTTTAATACTCAGTGTATTAAATCTTAAAATGTTTAAATACTTAACGCATTAAATTTTATTGTCGGGTGCTTAGAGAACCCAACCTTGACACTTAGCGTGTCGATACTAATGTGGGCAAAACAAAATGTGTAGTGCATCAAAATACTGTTAGAAGAGAGCAATGCTTAGAGCATGCAGCTAGACACCCAGCACACCAAACGTCTTTACATACAATCAAAAGAGTAATTTTTAGCAAAGCCCATACATTACATGCCCAGACCGAAACAGACAAAAACAACAAAAGGAAACTAAAACAACCATAGAGAATATTTTCACGCCCCAGGAGGGGTACCACACGATGCTGGAGCATCTTTGTTTTCATCACCACCGTGTCCATCGCCAACGACCATTCCCACCACCACACCCTCATCACCCACTACAATATCGCGGTCGCCATCATCCTCAACATCTTGCCCATCCTGGCCAGCATCACCCTCGATCACCTGCATAATTTCATCCCCTTGAATCGCCATACCCTCTGGGGTACCTTCTGAACCAGAAAAAGAACACAACTCCCGAGGGCCCCAATATCCAAATCTCCCAAACCCAATAAAGATGCATGATCATACTCGCAAACGATAACAGAGCGTCGTTCACGCTAACCACCGGACCAGTGGAGGAAAGACAAGCACCAGCATCATCAGACCCAGCTCCAACGGTCACTTTCTGAACGGATTCAATCCAGCCCACCACAAAGCAGCGTGTCGAATGAGACTTATAGCATTCGTGAAATCTGGATGCTCAATCAACTTGTCCACAATACGAACGACACCCACACGTACTAACCAATCCAAATCCTGGCGAGAAGCACCCACATCCGCTTGCAGAGAAGAAATTAACTTGTCACGATCAGCAGCATCGCGCTCAAGACTCTCAACTTGAATCATCAAGCCTTCATTCACTTGAGTAAGAGAGTCAACCTTGGCCTCTAACTCGGCTCTAGCATCATCAAGGATAGCCTTCTCAGATGCAAGGAGCTGACACTTTTGTTCAGAAAGCTGGAGGTCTTCACCAAGCTCGCCAACGCGACGCTCTAGCCCTGCCACGCGTGACTCGCATGTGGCATGCATGGCCTCCATTTCGCTAAGGGAGTGGATGCGTCAGGAGCAGGAAACAAGGTAAAACATGGCTTGCACGGCAACGTAAGCCATATTGTGGGCAAGAGCAGGGTTACCCATGGCCTCCATGTCACTAACTGCAGCAGGAGGAAAAGCATGGCGAGAGAACTCCAGAGCATTGGCACGAACGAATAACCGAGAATCATTGTGAAGATTCCAAGAAGGGGCAAAGATAGGGGACCTGGCGGAACTCTCCCCAGTAACACCGCCCAGAGGGAGTGACGCTTGGCCGGGATCGCTAGAGTCCTTGATGTTGGATTAATGTCTAAGTCCATAACTATATTTGGTATGTACTTGACCCGACCCGGCATGGTCCATTTGGGTTGCACTTCACCGGCACAATTTATATGGATAGTCTTTTGGGAATAGTATATTTTATGATTTATATTAATATATTATAAGTTCTAATATATTAATATGGAATCATATTATTTAATTAGTATTGATCAAGAATTAATTTAGAATTAATTAAGTGATCAAAAGAACTAATTAAATATGGACTCTTATATATATGGAATGGGCCAAGTTCATTTAGGTTGGGCTAAGCTTTCATGGATGGTCCATGGAGCTTTTAACCCATGGATCCTATGTAAATGAAAGGTCATGGGTATTAGGGTTTACATGGATGTAACCCTAATCCTCCATAATATATAAAGGGGTCATTGGCTCACAAAATTGGTACAAGTGTGTGAAAATAAGAGTGGGCCGATTTTAGTGTGCATACATATCTCTCAAGTTCTTCCAAGGTGTTTTGGTGATTTGTGATTCCATTTTAGGCTTCCACACTATGGGGCTAAGCTCTTAAAGCTTGAAGACATCAAGCTACATCAAAAGGTATGTCATCTAACTAGAACTTTGTAGTATAGGTGCTTCATATATGCTAGTTAGGATGAAACCTTGGAATAGTTTATTTGCATGTATAATAGAGAAAACTAGATCCAAGGTTTATAGGGTTGCATGTACACCATAAGAGTGTTAGAATGCTCAAAACCCAACAGTGGTATCAGAGCCATGGGTTGTTTTCTATTATATGATGCAAATGTTTTATTTTCAAGTGGGAAAAAAAGGAAAACAAAACATGACGTTGGTCAAATTTAAGATAAGTTACTTGTTTTTGTGAAAACGAATTATTTTTGTAAAAGTGAATCATTTTGTTATATGAGTTGAATTAGGTCAAATTTAGTAAAAGATAAAATGCTCTGATTATTTTCTTCGTTTTAAAATTTTGACCTCACCTAAGTTTCCTCGTTACATATTTTGTCATCAAATTTTGGAGCTCA